CCGCAATCTTTTTCCACAATTTTTTTATCTTATTTATTGCTAGATTTATTTTCAAATATGTTCGATATGAAGCACGTTTATATAAACTTTATTTATGAATCGAACAACGTTGTCTTTTTCTCAACTTGCAAGACATGTCCGAACTATCTCAACATCAATGAGAAACAGCTAGTGATTGTCGATGTCAAATTGTGAACATTGGAATGGCTTGTTTCAAACTAGAGAACATTGTAGAATGTCGTTATGACAAACATGGTCGCGGAATGGACGATCAGAAGCTGTACTGTGATATTACTGTTGTCAAACTACGAGTAATCAAAAACTGGAACAGCATGGAACGATAATCGAGTTCCTCTAGTTCTTGAACAAAAACACGTTACGATATTTGTATGAATAGTTGATTATACCGCGATTGTTAAGATTTTCTTTTATCATTACTGTCTATGCTCCCGTGCTGGAAACTCAGAAAAGATGTTGAATGAGGATTGTGGTTTTGTCTTGGTTATCTTTCAAATAACTGTTGAGCATAGTTTCTAGATTCTATTTGATTTGGTGATAATAAAGAAAAAAGTCTCATATACTGTTGATTTCTTGATGTATTAGCTAGAGTATTCCATTACTTTCTTTTCTAATGGAAATGTCAAGGATGTATCCATTTATGGCTTGTCAATTTCTCTTATTTTTTTCTGTGTAATTTTTGTTTGAAGTTGAATAACGGAAACTCCGAAATATGTTAATGGGTTTGAGTTACAATGGGCAGATGTATTTTTACACGATTATGAAGAATTATTAGTGATGGACGGGGTGGTAAGACAGGTGATCGTCTTTTGCCATTTATCCAGATCTGGAAGGAGACGGACATGCTTTTGTTGATGCGGCTTGTGGATGAACGGAAGCTAGTTTTACTGCACAAGATTTGGCAGAATATATAGACCGACGATTTTCTGAAGTGAACGATTCAACAAAAATTGAAGAAATTGTCGTAATGTACATTTATTTTTGAGTACAAACATGGTGGCTTATAGTAGATCAGTTTTGGGGAAGACCCTCAGACCGATCAGTTTGAGCGCACGTACAGGTGTGACAGAGTTATTGAGTGGTATACACGAGGCTGCTTTCTCTTTAATATAGTACAGAAAAAGGCAATACATGGTTATGTTATATGGTTACAACCCATGTAAATTTTTTCGAGCAGCAGACACGTCTGAAAACGCGTTTTATCCTGCGTTTAAGTCGCTCTTATATGCACCCTTTTGGTGCGGCTAGACGCGTTTTATCTTAACGCGTTTAAACGCGCATAATGGAGCCGCGTTCTAACGCGCTTTTATAGGATATCACGCGTTAAGACGCGTCTAATTACGCCGAATCTGCACCATTTTAATGCGTCAAGACGCGTTTTATTGTGACGCTTTTAAACGCGCGTGATGGAGACGCCGTTTACCGCGCTTTATCTAGGCGCGTCTAAGTACGCCGAACTTGCACCATTTCACCGCGTCAGGACGCGTTTTATTGTGTGCGTTAAAAAGACAAATTACAAAGCAAGTTACTTACCCACTCAGCCACATGAGCTTGCAGCTTGTTGTCAATGCGTATATATTACATGGCCGAGGACAAGTAAAACTTATGAGAAGCTGCTGTAATTAGGCATGCACCACTCTCTAAAAAAAATCCGTAGCTTACAAAACGAATATCGGTTTTGGCATTTGCTCCTAATAGAAACCGATATCCGTATCGTACAGTCCTGCATACCCGTTTCGCAGAATACGTTTCAACGTTTTTTCTCTGGTACAAAACCTAAATCCGTTTCTTCACAAGGCAAAAAACGTTGAAGCGTATTCTGCGAAACGGTTATGCAGGACTGTACGATACGGATATCGGTTTCTATTAGGAGCAAATGCCAAAACCGATATTCGTTTTGTAAGCTACGGATTTTTTTTAGAGAGCAGTTAAAAACACCAGTTGGGGCTTCCACGAAAATTGTTATAAATCGCCTATAAAGAACTATTCATAGTCGCAGAACGTCGCATTTTGTAGAGAAATGTTTGCTCTAAAAACTTCAGCTGTAAAAGAAGCACTTGAAATTATTCCTAACAAAAGTGTAAGCATTCTAAACTGCACTAAAGTTAGAAAAAAACCTGTTTGAACAGGGTTTTTTTCTAAATTTGGTAGGTTTTAGAATGCTCATATCTGGACCATAGATAACTTTGAAACTTTTCTACTTTATATCGGATTATGGTCCAAACATTTCTCCACAAAATGAGACGTTTCGCAACTCTGAGAAATCGTTCACAGGCGATTTATAACAATTTTCGTGGAAGCCTCCCCAACAGCAGTTTTTAACTGGTTATTATTACCTAGCTGTAATAATACAAAAAATTGCGCGTGTTATATCATTAAAGGCACAAAGCTGCATTTTTTCTTAAATAGATTACTAATCCGTCCGATAACCGCGATAGTTTGATTGTTGCAAATTTCGACAATACAAATTACTCCTACCCTTAGCTTTGATCTTCTTTTAATAAATGTATCTCTTTCGAAAGAAGATTTTTCATGTATATATCGTGCAGTCATAGACTATATTTGTGCAACGAACAGATTTATAGAAGAAAAATAGCGTATTGTTATGATGTCTCTCTTCTTGTCATTTAAATCTCGCTAAACAGACTTTTTTCTTTCTCTTTATGTGTGCCTGAACTTTCATACATTATTGTATGGATCTTTTTTCGTATCAGATTCTTTATTCGTGATTACATTGTATCGATTGTGTTTCTCTGTCCCTCGATAATACTGAGCATGCCTCTCTTTCGGCACCAGGCGAAAAAATTAAAATGTTTCTCGTTAAACTAAAAATAGCTTGTAACAATAAGACGTGTCTCAACGCGTCAAAGATGCAAACTACTTCTCAAGCGCACTTTAACGCGTTTATTGAATCAAAATGTAACGGACGCGCCTTGACGCGTCGTAATATGTCGCGTTTAAACGCATCTGAGGGAACGACCTATAAAGTCGCGTTTAGACGCGCTTTTGCATAAAAGTTTGAATTGTCGCGCTTAAACGCGTCATATTGTACCGCGTTGGAGCTACTATACTTAAAAGGACGCGTTGTTTTTGCCACAATTTTCAAGACGCGTCTAGACGCGTTTGCACACTACTACCACATAAAACGGGTCATTTCGCGTTTTTTCAAGAAAAAGTTCTAAAATGCGTTTAGTCGCGTTCGTACAGGGCGCGTTTTAACGCTTTTTTCAAGTTTTTTCCCAATTACTTCCAGACGCGTCTTTTCCGAACGAAACGCGTTTCTTCAGACGCACCCAAGTTACATGGGAATACACTAGATGAAATAATCCATGCTAAAGATAAAACGCTAAAATGATGTTTTCGGTGTTATATGTATAGATGCCTGATAGCAGAACAAAAGGGTGAATCAAAGTATTGTCATCAAATCGTATATAGATCTTAAAAAGTAAGGTCTTATTTCAGGATGAAACAGGAAATGATTTGAGGATTTACCGGCACACCTAGGAAGTACGACAAAATTTATCATCCGATGAGATGCACTTCTCTTCTTTAAATAACGATCTAATTACAAAATATTTAGTCACTAATGGAAATTGTGTTTGTGGGTAATAAGAGAGTGTTGAACATTATCTGCTAGATTGTCCTTTCTATTCTGGACGCAGCGCTGCCTTATTCAAGACAATAATCGATTCGATACATTATGTAAAGACGTGTCTTTCTTAGCGTCTTCTATGTCACTTTTTTGTATGTGATCATTTTACTGTTAAGGTGCACGCAACTTAAAAACGAGCACTTTTTTTCTCAATGATTTGTATACTTGTTTGGATAAAGTTCGTCGAGCTGAGTCCGAACGCGTGTGTTTTGGTTCGATTGTTGACAGTTTATATTTGAAGAAGTTCAATACGTTAATTAACGGGTGTGCCAGAATAAATGGGAGTCTCAGTATTTTCTACTTTTCTCCTGTTTCTTTAGGACCCTAAGGTTAGTGTTTTTCTCTAGAAGATGCGCCGTGACATACTCTACAAAATCATACTTAACCTCCCATTTCAGAACTTCAATTAAGCAAACTATGCAAATTATACGAAAGACGAAAAAAATGAAAACTTTCTAAAGTTGGTATTTTTTTCGACCTGAATTTTTTTCTTCTGCTATTATTTCCGTAAAAAAGTGTAGCAAAAGTGAGAACGCAGTTCTTTTTGTACTTTTGAGTGTGCTCTTTCTTGTAGCCTGGAAAAAAAAATTTCGAGCAGATGGTGTGCTCGAGAACGAAGTTATAAAAATACGTCAAAATTTGACAACCCCGCGTTTCCAACAATGTGCTCAAACAAGAAACGGAAAACATGATCGAAGTTTTGAGTTTGCAGTTAGGTAGAAAAGAGCAATCAGTTCTAATCAAAACAAAACAAATTCGATCGAAAAAGCTTTTGGTTTGATGGAGTTATGGGAGTTTTACTAAAAGCACCACTAGCCAGAATTTAATAAATTAATAAAAAAGTATAACGGGACAATGAAGTAAATACCCTTTTTTTGAAAAAGTATTTTCAACTCTTTGACAGCGATTAAACTGTATTCGAATAATATTAGATGCATATACTATAGATCATATTTTTTAAAAATCAACAAAAAAAAATAATGAATAAAATGTCAAGATAAATATATTATTGTCTTGTGGAAAGCGAAAATACATCGTAAACAGTTACTGTTCGATAACAAATAAATAAAGAGAAATGCAAATAACAATGGCATAATTTTTTTATCTGCTGCATATCTTTTGTCTTAGCCTTCAAAATGTAGAAAATAGCAGAAATTTTGAGTATCAAATCAAGTATTATTTTATTGTCTTACTACTACTTCTTGGAATATTGCTGTTCGACCTATCATCTTCAAGACAAGCTCGAATAAATAGGTGTCGTTGTTGAGAATTGACCTCACCGTGTAACAACGCTAAACTTAAACTCTCTATGCAGTTTTGAATAGCTCTGTGTGATTGAGAATTATCGTTCTTTTGTTTATCTTGTTCATCAGGCCATATTTTCTGAAATAATACTAATAAACGAAAAAATAAATTTCGTTCTTTCGGTTGTAACTGTTCGATTAATATTGTTACTGCATTTTTCATTTCATTCGGTATTGAGCCAGATACATTGGCTACCCTGTGAGATGTAGATAGTGGTAAACTACTCTGAATAGTATTTCCACTTGGTAAATATTGTGAAGAGCTGTTCGTAAGTTGATGATGTGTCCTTCCTAGAGTAAACAAAAATTAAAATAATTGGTAGAATGATTTATTGAATAAGTTTTACTGTGTGGAGACTGTCATAGGGTGATAATCATTTTTCCATGAAGCACAGTTTGGGTTCAGTTATTTCTTATGCCATTTCTGAGTCTGATGTCTGCTTAAGACTGGCAGGCACTGTCCCACTACAGTGTTCAGCAGCTCATAAATCTTATTTTTCTGCAAAACTTGTTCGTTCGTTCATATATTTAACTTGATCTGCTTCAAATTTGGATCAGTGTCTCTTTATGCGAAAGTTTTGGATGGACAGCACTTGATAGTCGCAAGATCAAAGTCGGTATTGGCATAAGAAATAATTGACGCAACACTGTGTTTCGTGAAAAAAACATTATCATCTGGGGAGGATCTCCCATCACTAGTTTTCTCTCTTTAAAGCGAATTATCAAAACGTTTGACAACAGTACAGCAAACATAAATTATACGATGTACCTGAATTAAATATTTTTTTCTGTATTTGAGTACTGATCAACGGCTCTGGTAAACATTGTAATAAATGTATTAATATCATTAACAAATCGGAATTCTCATATTTATCAAACTTGTAATTGTGATTATAAATTTCATTTCGTAATGGAATCAAATCTAAATTATCCTGAGTGTCAGCATTGAATATATCAATTAAATCGAGTTCACGCTCTTTCAAACAATCGATTAACGCTAGATATAATGCTGGAGGATCTTTTTTCATTTCTATTAGATTTTCTTGTCTTTCACTGTAATCATCCCCCCCATCATCCGGAATCTGTTTTACATCGTACACATATGTATTAGTACTCCTATTGAATAATGTCACTGGAAATTGATCCAATGACAAGCCAAATGGTCCCATGTCGAGTGTAATGTCTAATATGATGAATGTGTCTGCACCATCTAAAACAAGCTAATCATTTGATATTAAATCTTTGAATGAGCGAGCAATGCTTACTTTCGACGTGTAATATGAGTATTTCATTAAGTTGTTTTTTATTTGTGAATAATGACGCATACTCAGGTTTAACGTTGAATATCACATCAATTTCTTGTTCTTCTTTGGCTTGAATCGAAGATGGCACTGGCGGAACAAATTCTAAACAATTGAAAAAATATTCATCTGGTTTCAATGGCACTGATTGTTGTTTAACATCTCCGGCAGAAAATCGTGATGATGTTAATATGGTATAATTCACTTGACATTCGCCAGTATTTTTTATCTTCATTTTATAAGACGATTTATCCAAATATTTGATAAGAACAAATTTTACTTCTGGTGGTCGTGGATAGACATCAATTGTCGGTATTGCATCATTTTCTTCTCGATCAAATTCACGTATCAATTGCTCACGTATTGAATTAGACCGTTTTTCATCATATAGATATTTGATTGAACTGAGAAATAGACTGCTAACCGGCCTATGATCACTAAAATTAACCGTTCTGGCACAAAAATAATCTAACGGTTTCACAACATCAGTTTCATCTTGTATTTGTTTTTCATTATTAAAATTACTATGAATCTTTTTACGTTTCACTTTATAGAGAATACGATCTGTCCAAGATGGTGTACGTAATTTTTCACTCGTGTCATAAACATCCGTTCCAGGATCAAATTTATATGTAGGTATAAAATCAATAGTATGTTCTTGATAATTTTTAAATACACGATCTAATTTTATTTCACATTTCAGTTGATCTTTTTCTTGTAAAGGAATCATAGATACTTCGTTGATTGCTTTACGAACTTGTTCATTTGCTTGAGAAATACGATAATTCATATCTCCAAACCAAAATATAATATCGTGATCACTAATTTTCCACCTAAAACATTCACATACAAACTTGATATTTACCTAAAGACAAAAGTTTCTTATTTTGTTAATCCACAAGCATTTAAAACCTATGGAAGAACGGTTCTCTCGAGTTTTTCATGACATCTAGTTTTCTTGCCGTTCATTTTACCAGTGATCATACATGTTCGTTTCGATTCGTATTGTTTTTCTGTATTCTTTGTAGGTCAAATTTCTCAACTATTACTTTAACCGTTGCGGATAAACAAGATCTGATACAATTAGATTGTAGAACATATCAATTTCCTTATTTGCAAAAAAATTGCTGAACTGGAGAACATATTTTCTTTGAAATTTTATTGTACAAAACGTTGGAAAGTTACTGCTAGTAATAAATAAACATTGAGAACTTTTTCTCGTTAGACTAATATAGAGAAATTTGGTCAATTTTTTGTGTCCTACACACCATCGACTTGTAACAGGTTGCCCATTATTCGTTGTTGGATTTGCGCCTGACGGAGCAGGGGTGTGCCAGATATAATCTTTAATTGAATACGTTGGTCCATCTGTAAAAACCATTCGTGATTCTATTGTCTGATAATCTTCGTTTCGTCGTTGTGTTTGTCCATCACCAGATGCAAAATGACAATTAAGAAAACAAATATCTGTTTCATAGAAACGAAACCGGATTCCGACACCACCTAAAAACAAAGACAGTTTAATATACAGGGATCTTTGATAACTACAGATAGTATTCTTCCTAACAAAACATACCTTTATTTCCTGTTATGTTCATGAAACCGGTTGGTACAGATGCACGAGAGACAGCAGTGCACTTTTTTTTGTGCTCAGATCGAACATAAACAAATAATAGTATTCCTAGAATAAATAAATGACGAAATCTTTAGCCTTTGTTTGGTATTGGTTATACTCTTACCCATAAGTCTGACACGATTGATTAAGTAGTATCTGCTTTTGGATTCTGCAGGATGCTGTATGGTATTATTTACAACATATTCCCATTCATCTTCTTTTTTTTTGTCATCATATAAATAAGCACCACCACTTGTATCTATCTCTTGAAAGCCCACGGCAATAATATCCGGTATTTTTCCTGCTCGACAAAGCCATTCATCTAAATTTGCATTGGTCGGTGGTTGACGATTATTCACGTTGAATGTACCACATAAAATATAAAATTGTTTATAAGATGTATACTCATCTTCTCGTTCTTTTAATTTATTTTCTAAACGTCGATTAGAATCATTCAACTTTTGTTGCTGTTGTTCATAAGATGTGGCAGATGTCATAATAAATTAACAGTTAATAATTGTCAAATAATCAAGATAAACTAAAATATCAATTCATATTCTTTTAATCTATAATAGAAATACCAGTCAATTGATAAAATAATAACTTGTACAATAAAATTACAAATTTAAAATTCCAGTATCAGATTTTTTTGTGTTATGCAATCATTACTCAAATAACGGTAACAAGCAATATAGTTGAGAACACTTATCAAGACCATCTATATACTTTAATCAACAATGAAATCGATAAGGATTAAACATTGAAACAAGATCATTAAAAATTTATTTCATTTGAAATATCAAAAGTGAAAAAAATTAAATAAAAAACAAATAGTTCAAAAACTCACATTTTATTAGAGCAGAAAAGCTCAATATTAACTCAAAAAAAGGAGAAAATGACTTGTTTCACGAAGTTGAAAGTTTTTAATTTTATTTTAATTTGTTGTTTTTCTTCTTCTTATATATTAGACTGTAAAATCCACGTCAATAATCGTTTATTAGAGAGTGTGATCTATGATTTACAGTTGAATACTTTCATAATATCGCCATTATTCCATTTTGTTTGCCATTTTTTCACATCATGCGGTCATCCGTTTAATTTATTGTCAATTTCATTCGATTTATTTTTTCTGTTAAAAAATATTTTGTAACATTTTTAATTTGAAGTCATATTTGAAGTCACCTAGCTCATGTTGATCAAATATTGTCATCTAACTTCATTCGATTTGCATTATACTTATCTCATCATAATATTGACAACGATTTTAATCTGAAATAAGAGTGAAATAATAGGAAACGAGAAAAGCGTAGATTCCCATAGGATAAATATCTATACTAAAACAAATTAACTTACTGTACACTGAACTGTTAGCATGTTGGACGATCGGACCAGATGGGATTCTGTCGTTGTAATCTGTCGCTTCCATTGTTGTTGTTTTTAAATTTTAGCGAAAACAATCTCCACTTAGAATCGCTGAATATATGAATAAGTTATTTTAGTACCAATTTCTCTTGAAACACTATTGTGAGCTACTGTTTGAATAACTAGCGTATTCCGCTGCAAAAAAGGTATACTTTGCATATATAAACTATCGTTACTCTTTGATATTTAACAAGAGGTTATTTCTTGCATTATCGAAAAAATTAACTCATCCTTCTTCTGCAAGTAATTTTGTTCTTAAAAATGTGAAAAATTTTGAACAATATTGGCTTTTCACAATAAATTGATTCTACTTCTTTCGTTGAGATATTTATCTTTCCATTAGGTTTATTCTAAAACGTTAGTTAATTATTAAGAATCTAGTCAAAAATACTGCTGATATTTTTCAATATAGGTCATAACGGTACAAAAACATATATCTTTTATTTTGTGACGAATAACTACACATAAATAAATATCAAATAAAACTATCTATTTTTTCTTTATTAAGACCAAAAAGGTATATCTATTTTTTTATTTCAAATGAGCTAAAATGATGATATAACATTATACAAGATTGAAACAATGCATCTGAGACAAAAACTTTTTATCTTTCATCCAGTAAGAAAAGAACGAAGCTCTATCAACAAATTATCATTATTAAGCTTTTTTTTTTGTATTGAAGTATTTTACTTTTTATTTTTTTGACATCATTCGTCTTGTTCTAAAGTCCAGTTTCCATGAATATAATTAGAATATCACTATTCAAGTTATAATTGAGTTAAACGAGTTATAGTCATCAAATCACAGGAGAAACAATTGGAACCTCAAAGAGACTTGGATATACTTTTATTCTTTTTTTTTCTTGTATAACAAAAAAAAAACAATTGAACACAAATAGTAAAAACAACAATGACAAAAAAACATAGAAAAAATTCATATGCATGTGTATACGATTATGTACAGAAAACAAAAGAAGAATAAACGCGATTTTATATTAATATGATATATTTTGACTAGAAATTTTCTTCAATTTCGATATGAGGACTTTTTATGATAATGTGACGTTAAATAACCATTTTGACTTGTTTGTTTTTCTTCTAATGATTGATGTCGATGATGATGATGATGATGTTTCGTATTATTTGTATCTTTCGTCGATAAAATGGATGCTGTACGATGTGATTTGTGACGTTTATCTTGATTATTTAAATAACTAGAAAAAAAATAAAATAATTCGAAATATTAGAAACGATAATAAAATAAAATAATTTCTCACATACTTATTGTCAGGTGACACTGTTGATGTACGTGATCGTCGTTTTTTATCTTTTTTTCTTCCATTAGATGATCTAAAATATTGAAAAAGAAACTTATAGATTATCGTTGTATCAAATTAAATAACATGCGAACCTGCTACGATTTCTTAAACGTCGTTTGTCTTTTTGTTTTCTTTTACGAGCCGTAGATGGTGATGGCGTTCAAAAAACAAAAAAGACAACTTTCGTTATAGTCATTTAAATTTTAAATAAGATAAAAATGTCTTACCTTGACTTTGATGGACTACGATATTTTTTTTTCTTTTGTGGAATAGGAGATCGAGACGATCTTGATGAACTAAAATGAAGAATAGAAGATTGATTACTAAAAAACAAATAAAATATGATTTATTTAATACCGTTTTCTACTACTTCGACTACTGCTTCTGTAATGATCATTCACTGTTGATTCTCTTGAACTATCTTCATCGATATTACGATGTGATTTTATTTTAGTCACATTATCTGCTTTATCACCATTAGAAGTTTTTACTGTTGTTAATATTGTTTTCATTGTTTCTGTATGAGTGGTCATTGCCATAGATGCTAAAAAAGAAAAACAAAAAATATGTCTTTCATATATTTAAACAAAGAATTATTTCAAAAAAAAATTTCTTGTTTCTAATTTTAGCAAAGTAACGATCAATTCTAACCAAGTTAAGGATTTGTACTCCACAATTATCAGTCACTCAGAACTTCTTAGCAATAGACGTATTATCATTAGTTTATCAAACAAGACATTATCATCATTGTGACGTGAAACTCATAATCTAACATTCAAAAAAAAAAAGAGATAAAGTTTAAATGTCTTACCATCATCCTGTAAAATTGTACTTTGCATTGAGATCACTGTTGTCGACATAGAGGCACTTGTAGAATCACTAATTTGGTGTTGTTTAATAATTTGTTCATTTAAATGTGTTTCACGTAATTTTTTTCTTTCATCTTGAATTTTATCACGCAAACTATTGACAATTTTTTCTAAATCATCAAATGGCTTCTAAATGATAAGAAAAAAAAATATTCAGTAATTTAATAAAATTGATTATCAATCACATACTGGTCGATGTTTGTATAATCTGAGTATTGCAATCATTATATAACGTATTTCATCTTCTTTTGCGCCAAATATAACAAACCAAGATGGACTTTTCGGTAAGGGAATCTATAGAAAAATAATGAGATTCAGTTTAAATGTTAGATTTTATTCATAACGAGAATCGACCTTACTTGAAGATTTCTTGCTGCCAAATCAATACATGCACAGGCTATAGATTCTGGTGTAAATCGTAAAAATATATCTGTTCTCAAACTATCATTCATATAATTCCTAGAACGAGAGGAAGAGAATCTTTAATTAATCAAGCACTTGCGATACTGATCTATATTTTATCAAAAACAAAACCTATCAATAGGATCCACTCAAATAAAATACTACAAAACGAAAACTGAACATCAAATCAGTGGTAATAAAAATCACAAGTGGTTACAGTTTTTTATAATTTCATTTTCTCTTGTTTTAATTAAACTATCGATTGTGTGTGTGTGTTGTCTGTTGTCTATACGCGGCAATTTATTCTACGCAAAATGAACAAAGCTGTAATTGAACTACTTTAGTGATTTTAGAAACTCTCTTCTTGGCGTTTACTCTCATAAAACAAAAGTAAGACAACATTTTCAGAATTAAATGAATATAAGTATTAGTAGTTAATCAGAAAAGGTGACCATTAGTCAATAAAATGATCGAAATCAACAGAACAATTTTCCATTACTGTTCTTTGGCCACATAATCTTTGGTTTACATATTAATTATCATATTTCTCACAACTTTCATGTGATCATTTCATAGTAACCAACAAGCTATAATCATGTGCTACAAAAGAATTCAAGAATAAAATGATGGAAGATAGTAACAAAGATTAATAAACAAATCAGTCTGATACAATAATAAGACGTCTCATTGACTGAGGGAGTATTTAATTGAATTTACACATTATGGCATGATATAAGAACAGAAAGGAAAGAACTGACTATGACACAATGGTGACTGGTAATTTCCTTACGGTCTGATATAATATTTTAACAAGAAATAAAACAGAAGCTATTTTACTTTCCAAAACTACGACACGGACGCAGATCCATTGTCTCTTTCAACATAAACATATCAACGAAATCAAATTTCATACTTTTCCTGTGTAACTTTAAGAAAATCCGAAACCTGGTAACCTGTATTCAAGGTCAATAATACAACAAATTAAAAATCCGACTTTACATCTGCATTATGAGAGCTCCAGAGGACCAGAATCGTAGAAAGAATTCAACGATGCAGAATATAATGATTATCAAGATTAACTAAAGTGATGTGACTGTTTTCACGCTACAGCAAGTTTTAGTAATGAATTGACGCCTGCCTACCTCGTTCATCATACGTGCTTTATCTGACAACAAATCATATTCTACAACGATCAATATAACACGAGGATTACTTAGCTAAAGAAAAATTAATTTTTTGAATGATTATTCCCTATTGTACTACACGTTTAACTTAACGATTCTGGCAAAAACTAAGCAGAAAATACAAATTGCTTTTGTATGCCCTCTTCAAAAAATCTTGACAGTTAACTGAAGAAAAGTTAAAATATGAAAGGTACTAATTAAAGAAGCTTAGTAATGATGAAAGGAAGGAAAAACTGCCATTTTTTTATATAATTCTAATTTCAGAACTCATGGAATTTTCTAGATGAGATTACAAAGTAATCATTTCTGCGGTAAAGCCAAATGTACCCAGAAAAAATAAGACACAGTTTTGTCACTTGAGCAGAACAAACCGATGTATGTATCATAATGAGATGCAACATAAAAATTTAATACTTTGGTCTTTATAGTAATGTTTGCAAGGGTATAAAAACGGACTCACACAATAAACATTTTCATTTTTCATACGGCTGTGAGGATAGATGTTATGCACACAGAAAAGTTTAGCATGGACATACAAAGTTAAAGAAGCGGAATATCAACCCTCATACTCTTTTGTGAGTTTTATAGGAGAGTAGCACAGAAAGAATACTCTATACAATTGCTTACGGTAATGAATATAAAAATATTCTCTGAAATAAGAGTTATCCTGGGTAAAATAGACTTTAATTGTCTCGCCAATATTGACCATACCCCTTAAGGATGCCCTTCTGCCGTTTATGTCAGAAGCAGACTAGTGCCAGTTTACAAACTCAACTCAAGAACGTAACTGAAAACCGCAATACACTCGCTTGTTCATCAAGTAGGCTGATTCGACAACCATCCGTTCAAATTTTTAACATACAGATAAATGAATATATTATTTTTGTTTTTCTTCAATCTTCATTGTGCCGAAGAGACCAAACCAATCATAGAGATACACAGCGTACCATTCGTTTACGAAAGATTCGATTATAGTCGCAGCCGAAACAACTTCAGCCAGTCTTTCTATTTTTTAAGCCAAAAAAAAAGAGAAGATTCCTCGGCTTTCCAGCACGACAATCAATAAAAGTAATAATAATTCATAATAACATTGGCTTATATGAACAATGATGTACTAAATGACTGAATGATGTAAAATATCCTTGAAATTAACATTCATTATATGTGGCATCTGACTAAAAGTAGATTAGTACGTATTTAATATTTAATAATTCAGTTTAAAGGAACTACGAGCTATTAAATTCTTTATCAGCTTTGTTCATTTTACGTGTGCATCTTCGTTTAAATTGAAGGGGGTGAAAGATCAGCTAAACAGAACTGATACTCTGTTCTGCACACTAAAAGACAAAAGAATGGTCTTGCACAAACAAACAACAATCGTATTAAAAAAGAGAAAATAAAAATAAAAAACTGTACGGTAATACTTGCGTTTCTTGTTACCACAATATCGTTGATAAATCTTGATGTCCAGCATATAACTGCATACTGAGAACATCATACTGACTATGCATGTAGATCTAGCAGATGAGTGTGTGCATGTGTATGTTTAGTATGTATATATGAATGATTTTATACATGGAATAATGGATATCAATTTCATGGTTACCACACGGCAAACACTCCAGGTAAACCATCTAACCTGGATAAAATGAAATCAGTTAGTAAACAGATACAAAAGAAAACAGAAAAACACATATAGCGAAAGAAAAGTAGAATACAAATCTAAAAAAGGAAGCTTCTACTTGCTCTCAATCGCACATGTATATCCATCGTAATGCAATCGAAGGAAAGTGTTTCACTATTCCTGTATGTAAAGCAGCATTAGTTTTACCACATATCTGGTAAAACAGAAATCATTGGCCAACGCGAATGCTAACAAGACAGATTAATGGGGAAAATGCAACTTATTATGTCCAAAACATTCAGTATAGTTGAATATCACTCAAAGGACTATTCATTATCACATATGATATTAAACCAAAAAGAGACAAATCATATGTTTTCGTAAAATTGTCAAATCTCCTGTGATATTTTTTCCTCGGCAAAACTTTCAAATATACTAAATGCTACGTAAGATATTTGCAGCAATCAGACATAATCGACTTAAGAGAATTATATTGTAAGTCGACTTAACTCTAAAAACTAAAGACGTTTCATAAACTACTTCGTTTCCTATCTATTTTTGGTCTAGATCAGGCAACTCTCATACAAAACAGTGGTTCTAGTATCATTTCCCTAGCATGAAATAAGTGAAACTGTTTCTAAATAGAAATAGAATAAAAAAAGAAAAAAAATTCAATAATGTAACTTACCAAGCTGTTTGAACGAATTTTCTTTCACGTTCCTTTTCAAGAACTTTCAAATACATTGTTATCATCTAGAAAGAATTAATAAAAATCAATTAATGCAGATTTCTAGCAGATTGTCCGTGTCTTACTTTATGAGGATGTTTAACGTAAACGCAGAATCCAAGTTCTTTCAGAATTCGTCGTTCTGATTTGATTACTTCTAATTTCTTGTCAATATAATTTTGATCAATTAATAATGGCCGAATTGTTCTAAAATGAATGGAAAATATTTATATCTGCACAGAATAACCCAAGACAATTAGTTACGTACTTTCCAGCTCGAACTTGTTTTATGTGATTAAATACGTTAATAACATCCCGTACACGTCTATAAACAAATAAACAAGCAACACTAAGTATCATTCAATTGCGACTACTTAGTACAATACGGTACCTTGCATTTTCTTCAATTTTAGCAGCAAGATTTGTGCATGCCATAGCAATAATTTCCATGGGACGTTTTATAAATGATGATGAATAAAAGTAACGATGAAATAAAACTTGACCAGTAGCCACAGCAGTCTAGAAAAAGAGATGTTCCGTACTATCTGATGGAAAAATAATAACAACAACAAACCTGCGGTAATTTTAACAAAAGTCCAGCAGTTTGAATTAATTCACAGCCTAATAAACGCAAATCATATTCAATATCCCATGATAAACCTTCTTGCATTGACGGAGTGGGATTCGGATAGAGTTTTTCATTCGGTAATAAAACATTTCCTAATGTCAAAATTACACTACCGTACGTTGATTCCGGCATTCAAAAACCAAGTTTGAACAGAATAAATCTCACTTAGTTTTATCTACGAAGAAAAGTATTAAAAGTATAATTGACCGCACTGACACTGTCAGAAAAAAAACCCTAAAATGAAACGATGACGCGCAATAACACCTCTAGTCTATAGAAATTGCTGTCTTTCTTTCTCTCCTTTTTCTTTCTCAGCAAAGAGAAAGGTATCACTAAAATGGACAATCCCATTCGTATGAGTCATAAGTAAATGCATAGATGTTTAAATTAGTCACTGTTGAATAAATATCGTTGAGGCACATGTAAATGATAATGGTAAAGCCAAAGCACAAATCGCATGGAGATATTTTATGTACTGTTCAGTCTATAAAGTAACAAAACAAAAATATTTGTGCATCAATAGTTAAACGAATAGACCACCAATAAACACATTACGATATTATTCGTTTTTTTTACTGGAAAATAAGACTAGAAAATAAAACGAAAAATTATCTTTTTGATGCCGAATTCGTGAATAATTACTGTCTATTTTGTTCAAGCTGAATGAAGAACGTCCATCAATATCGGAATGCTTGCAGGTAAGGAAAAATCGACCAATTGTCTTATCAATGTTGTTATTGTTAACTGAGTACTTAAATCTGATTTAATCTTAGTTAAGAATTAACGTAATTCTTTTTGTTTCATTAAAAATTGAATGTCTATATTTAAGCAGTCGTTTAGACTGAAGTTTATTTTAACATTTTAACTAAATTAAACGTTGAGTTAGGTTATAAATCTGTTCCAAGAAATCTCTACTAGCCAATAATGACTATTTTTTTCTGTCACTTATACACGCAGATCTGGTTCAAATAACAAAGTTCATTGTAAAGAATATTGTAATCGCAGGTATTCTTCAACAATTACAAGTTCTTTACAATATAGGAAAAAGAGTGGGTTTTATTTTAGCTATAATGGTGCAATTTTTTGTTTATTTTTTATGCATTCTATTTTCACATTTATTTGCTTCAATGAGGTTTACGGACTGCATTTTTCAGTTGTTTATCTCACATTTATCTTCTTTTACTTTTTTAGTTGGCAACACATCTTTCAAGACAACATCTAACGCTTCTTCTTCGTTATCATCATCTGTGTTAAAAGGATTACCATCCTCTGGACAAAATCATGCTTTATCGACAAATACACAGCCATCAGCTACTTTGTTGCCGCCAATTTCATTAACTACAGTAGTCAATAGTAATACTGTCAACAACACTACTCATAATTCTACTCATCGTTCTCAACTACAACAGCAATCACATCAGAATGAACGACGACGGAATTATCGGTATACTGGAGATCCTAGCTCGCATGCAGCAGACAAAAAAGCCTATGTCAATGGCGATCCAGAAGGAGTAAGTAATACTGAGTTTGAGTATTTTGATTGACATCTGTGGAATGGAATACTCTAAAATTAGAATAATAAAGACTACTTGTTTGTCAACTTTTGTTGAACGCTTACATTCGAATTGCAGCTAGTCTACGTATCAGAATCTTCCATATTTTTCTGGAATCTAGTGCTTTTTCGATCATAAATCGACTTCTTAAAATGGTCATCCGAAACTGATCTTTGTATTTCATTTTTTTAGACACCAATGCATTTATCGGGGTGCGCTGATCCCCGAAATCCGATTCGAAACGAAAAAGCATACTATGATCTGCCCGTACCAAAATTCAAGGTAAAATTCTTTTTCCATTACCCACTTATTTCATTAACTGTCATTATTTTTTTTGTCTTATTTAGGTTGATCGTTGTTGGGTGGGGTCTTTGCCGGCCAAAGAAGTAACATTTCGAAATTTAAATGATAATATCACAAAAACGTTTTTAGCTGATATGTGTAAGCGTTTTGGTGAAATAGATGATTGTCGAATTTATTATGATAGAGTGACAAAAAAACATCTTGGTTTAGGAACAGTAAGTTAATTTTTTTGTCATATTTATAAGACTATAATCTTATTTCAATTTACTTCAGGTAATTTTTAAAACAACAAAAGCAGCCAGAGAGTGTGTGAAGATATTGCATAATTCTATCAAAATGGGTTCAATTATTTCAGTGTCTCTAGATACAGGAGGTATGTTTATAATAACATAATTTCAAAATAAAAAAAATATTTTTCTAAGTTGTAGGCATCGAACGTACAAAACAATATGCAACTTTAACACGCGGTCCAGAACAAGAAAAAGCAGCAGCAGCTGCAGCAGTAAGTTTGGAAGATAAAAGTTCATTTATAGAACTTTATTTTTCTTATTTGTCAAATGTTTTTGTTAATGTTTTAGGTAGCTGCGGCACAATCAGCTTCTCCACCGTCACAGTCTCAATCTTTGCCTTCAGATCAAAACAAACAAATAACAAAACAACTTCCCAATAATAGTGCTGAACTTTTATCTTCCAAAGTTACGCAATTATTAGCTATGCCAAATATACCACCACCTCCTTCATTCCTCCCCCCATCAGCAAATATGACACATAATCCTAATTTCGCCACACTTATTTCCACGCCGCCACCACCGATTCCACATCATCTTCAACAACATCACATGCCTTTAATCCCACCAATCGTTGAAAATAATAATGGCAATATTCATTTCAATGTTGGTACATACAGCACAAGTACATATTCCACACATTCAGTACAAGACAATTATCGCATGCCAGCGGCCGCAGTTCGTGAGTACTTTTATATCTTCATGTAAAAGGCCATGCTAATAGCACGAGTGTTCATACAAATATTAACAGAAACAAGAAAAGGGTCATTAGTTACATGTCGTTTTGAAAATGAACAGAAACATAGTAGAAGACGCAGACAGACATCATCTACTGCCGTTCGACATACACGAAAAAAAGTCGTTAAAACACCCAGACGTAAAAGTTCGTATATTGCTGCAGCGAAAGAGGTCTTTTCGTGAAAACATCGTTTGCATTCTTGATTTTACGTCTTTTGCAAAGTTTTTATTCGGATTTTTGATAATCTGTTGGCGTATATAGTGTGTTTTATTCTTATCTCTTTTTCTAGATCAATCAACGACTGTTCGATATGAAACATCAACTACAGGTGGTCAACATACTCATGTGGATGGCAATTCATCGTTCCTCTATCAAAATTCATCAGCATTCGATCCTTATGCATCGTATGGTGGTAATCAAACAAGGCCATCGTCACAATCATCCACACATACTACATCTAGAAATAACATCACAAGGAATAACAGAAGCACACATAAACGACAACCACAACGTCATCGAAAAAGATCTTCTTCAAGTTCTTCTACAAGCACTTCAAATGATTCTTCATCAAGTTCATCATCCAGTTCATCTTCATCATCAGAACTTTCCGACTCTGATGATGATACAGCAAGCACCAAAAAATCTCTCGTAAACAAAAAGAATGAAAAATCAGTTTCAGCTGAAGAAGAAGAAGATAAACGTGAACGACCAAGTTTAGATGCACGAATCGATGCAATTCTTAAACAACAACAACCAAACATACATCATCCAAAAGTGGCGTCATCCTTCCCAAATCTACCTCCGATGTCACATCCTCCACCTCCCATATTTCCTTTGCCTCCTATACCGCCACATTTGCTCGGTCAAAAACAACAACCACAAGCAACCTACGGTGTTGATCATACAGTTATAAATAATTTCAATTTTTTTGGTTCATCCTTTCCATCTGCATCATTTTTAAATTCAAATGGTGGTACCAACTGGCAAGATATTTTTCGTCCTCTATTAGATTTAGGCAAACAGGAAACGCCAAATTATATACATCAACAGCAAAAATCATCGACAATGGCCCCTCCCCCGCCACCACTTCCAAAAACGGGAACACTACCAGCTTCATTGGCGCCAATTTCCGATGATTTACGCTCAAATAAAAGTCAACATATAATAACAAATGTGTCGAATATTGTTAATAAAGAGTTAATCGACTTAATACGTAAAGATTTGACGAAAAAACTAGTTGAAACTCTTGTCTATAAAGCCATTGAAGTATGGTACGACAATCAAGAACAAAAGGCAAAAGTATGTAGAAGTGAAGAAATAGTGTAGTACTCGGAAAAAGTGAGAATATCTTTATAACTCATGAACTATATATAGTTGAGTGACAACGATACTCTCACTTTTATCAAGTGTCATATATATTTAATATAAGGTTGCTTTCTATAGGTTCGAAAAATTAAGTCAGTGGAATCAAATAATATTAACCATCAACCATATTCATCTCAGATACAATCGAATGGTACTATAGAACATGAAATATCGATTCAAACAGCCGCCTCGTCGGTGCAACGTTCATTATCGAATACTTTGATAGATCGTGTAGGAAGTGGAGAAGATTTATTACAATGTAAAAATACAGTGACACAAATATCTCAAACGACTTTAACGCCGTCATCTTCTGCTACACGCATTGCTGATACAACAGCTTATTTTGAACAAATATGTGAGCATGGTTTAACTGGTCATCTAACTGTACGATCACAAATGCCAAAATTACCTTCATTTCGGGTAAAAATGAACAGTCGCACATTTGTTAGACAAATCTATTTAGAAACAAACGTGAATCGTATTTAGATTCAGAAAAGAATTGTTCAAGAAGAAAAACGTCATTCACCGCTATTATTCACAACGAAAAAGACATTGTCAAACGTACGTGATCATGAAAAAGAAAATGATCGACGACGTCATCAACGTAAACGTAAGTTGCTAAATATTGTTTCGATGCCGATCAACTGCGTATCTACAAAACTTGAGATAATTGTTTTGTAAGAGATTTTTAATATCGGCTAAATGAATGTCGTAAATTGAACGCGGAGTTCTTGTGTAATCAATCACAATTGAACATATTTTCATTTATACATTTAATAGAACCGTCTTTTAATATCTTATACTTATCTTGAGTTTTTCATTCTAGGTGTTGCTACTCATAGCAGTAGTAGTTCAACTAGCCGTAGCAGCAGCAACAGCAGTAGCAGTAGTGATTCCTCAAGTGACAATGAATCAAAACGTGATGATGTGAGTCAAGAATCCAAACCACGTTCATCGGTCGATCTTCCAATTGAAAATACACCTCAGATTGGTGATAATTCTTACCCGGTTGATAATGATGAAACAAATCAATCGTCGATTGTTGATCCTGTTGTGGAAGAAGAAGAGGGAGAAATTAGAGAAGAGAAACAAGAACCAGAAGATCATAAACAAAATTTAAAAACCAAAGTGATAAAAAAACAATCAAATGTTAAGAAAAATCAGAAACGACCCAAAGTGACATCAAAAAAAAAAGAAAAGACAAAACCCATAGTACCATCATCAAGAAAAAGAAAAGTAAATACGTCAAATCTTAATGAAGAATGCATTGATGAAAAACAATCATTACTATCATCAAATGGAAGTAGAGAACAAATTCACAACGAAGATAATAATCAACGTGGAAGTGTTGAAACAACCGAATTAATAATACCACTCAAACGTGCTCGACTGAGTCAAAAAGAATCAAAAACAGATAGACGTGATTCGAAATTAATTACCTCAAGGTAAGATATTGTTGATCATACAAGTTGTTTTAGAATATGAGAAATATTAGTAGTACTCTTGTTAATAACTTCTAAACTCATTAGTTGTATTGCTGTCTCTAGTTAGCCAAGAAAAATTGAATAGTTGTAAAAATATTAAATTTCAAGAGGCAATAATCGTACTGAAATTCAAATCTATGCACATTACACTTGTCATTGTTTGTCTTATTACAATTTGATTTGGGATTTAACTAAAACGTATTTTGTATTTAGTTCAAACGATTTAGAACAACAAATATTACCTCAGAACAACGAAGAAACATCAGATAAAACTGGTATGTAACAAGAGAGTTTTAATTTTAACTTTTCTGTGAGAAAAGTTAGAAAGGCAAGATATTTTGTTGTTCGATGATAGAATTGCTCCTCTCACGCTCAATTTCATTCTTTTTCACTGTCTCTTCCGCATTAGTTATATCTTCTGGACAAAGTAAGTGCCTGTTTTCTTTGTGTATGAGTCAAGAGCGAATAAATTCAGAGTACAGCCATGTGGAATCATATACAGGACAAATAAGTTTCACACGGGAGCCCTTCAGCGATGATCGTGTACATCACCTGAGTTTAGCTAGAGAAAGAAAAGTTCGACTTGTTTTTTATTCTCGTCAAAATAATAATACCTAACCAAAACTACTTTTATTTTTCTAGCCAAAACATTTGAAATTACTAATCCTAGTTCGATACAGACGTACAACATTCTGACACAAAATATATTTGATGATATACACAGTGAGACAAAATCAACCACTGGCTTGTTTGATTATATCCGTTATGAACACGATTATGCTAGTCAAATACCAATACCAGTTAGTCATTTTATTAAATCAGAAGTTTCTGTTGCCCCGTTATCGGACACAAGTACAGATATGAAACCATTGAGAAAAAAAGGAACTGTAGTCAATGATACATTACCAAAATCAAATAAATTTTGTTCACGTCAAAATGAAGATGAAATGCGAATTATGTATGAAATAAATGATGGAATTGATGAGGAAGATATGAATTATTTAAAAGTCAGTTTTGTCAAGTAGGTGACTAATAATATTTCCTGAAATTTTGATTTTTCTAGAGTATGTACAATAATAAATGTTTTTCTATCATTTGAAGGATGTCTCAAGAAGGACAATCATGTTACGCAAATCAAACAAGATGGGTCGATCATCCTCCAAGTCGGGATTCGTTTTTTGTCCTTAATCAGGCTTTGTCTGAAAAACATCTCACAGGTAGGTACTAAACAACTTTTTGCTCTATTTTTATTCTAAATCGCTTGTTATTTCATTGTTTTTAGGTAGTGCAAGAACTGAGGGTTATTACAAAGTTGCATTCGAAGAAAAATTGCGTTATCTGAAAACGTTAACAGGAAACGATGCCCAAGCATTATCAATTATTCCGCAATTAATGATTGACACAAATAATCAGTCCACAAAATCCTCACAATTGTCTCGTGGTGCTAGAAGTGAACAACGTCGTATATTAGCAGCATTAGGCGATGTCGAATTTGCTGATCATTTTAAATTTAGTCAGTTAAAAGTATGTCTAATATTGCTTTATTACTATCAATATTAATGATTATCTCATGTTATTTATTACGTTATAGCTGAGAAAAAAACGTTTACGTTATGCCAAATCTGACATACATGGATGGGGATTATTTGCATGCGAAGCAATTGCAGCTGAAGATATGGTTATTGAATACGTGGGTGAAACAATTCGACAAACAGTCGCTGACATTCGTGAAAAAGAATACGAAGTTGAAGGCATTGACAGCAATTATATGTTTAGAATTGATTCAGAAACAATCGTGGATGCGACTAAATGTGGCAATTTAGCGCGATTTATTAATCATAGCTGCGATGTAAGAATAACTATACAAAAAAAAACATTTTTCATCTTTCTCTCTTATTGTCTCCTATTCTCATTTTTCATCATTCACCTCTAAAAAAGAGATATAAACCCTTAGCATACTCAATTATTATGTATTTAAGAGCCATTAAAGATAAGTCACGATCTAACGTGTTCAATCGAACACCTCAGATTTCTTCCAACATAGTAGGCTTCGTTAGAGCAAACATTTTCATGAATTTTGGTCGTAAAGGTGTTGCGTTGCTTAGATATTCAATTTTTGGAAAGAGCCCGAAAACGCACAAATTCCGGCATCTAAGGAAACTGTCAATTTAAACTACGTACAACTCCGTAACGACACATTATTTAGACTTTTGCCGTAATTACGCGTAATTTTTTTTTTTTCATCGAAGTTACGCTAAACTTCACCGAAGTTTAGCGTAATAACGGAATTAAGAATTCTATCATAACTACTAGATAGTGTCTACTACAAAGTCATACAACCGCGAGCTCCGGACATGCTTCCGTTCTGTTAAAGTAGATGATCCCGTGCGAACCCAAATCGTCATTTTGGAGAAAGATTTTCTCTCGGAAATCGGGCGAATTTCCCACCCCCCAACGATATTGTTGGAGTACAGCAAGTGCACTATCATGAGCCATGGCGGGATTTTTGGGATCTTTTAAAATACCCTGGAAAACCAAGTGAGATTTCTAGAAAATCAGACCATGAAATTTTTCAATCGAATTTGGGATTTTCACATTAACCATTTTATAGAGCATATCAAGTTACACATGTCAAGTTATTTTATAACTATTCGGTTAGTTTTGATGGAATCAGAAACTTGTGTTCAAGTATTGCTTAAAAGCATACATATATACGTGCATGGTAATACTCTAGTGTTTGAAAAATTTAAAACTTAATTAAAACTAACCGAGTAGTTATAAAATAGCTTGACACCGGATCGACGATTTGGGTTCGCACGGGATCATCTACTGTAACAGAACTGAAGCATGTCCGGAGCTCGCGGTTGTATGACTTTGTAGTAGACATTATCTAGTAGTTATGATAGAATTCTTAATTCCGTTATTACGCTAAACTTCGGTGAAGTTTAGCGTAACTTCGATGAAAAAAAAAAAATTACGCGTAATTACGGCAAAAGTCTAAATAATGTGTCGTTACGGAGTTGTACGTAGTTTAAATTGACAGTTTCCTTAGATGCCGGAATTTGTGCGTTTTCGGGCTCTTTCCAAAAATTGAATATCTAAGCAACGCAACACCTTTACGACCAAAATTCATGAAAATGTTTGCTCTAACGAAGCCTACTATGTTGGAAGAAATCTGAGATGTTCGATTGAACACGTTAGATCGTGACTTATCTTTAATGGCTCTTAAATATTCTAAAAAAGAATGAAGCATCTGATTATTATACTCTTTACTTTTCAAAAAGGATCCGTGGCTATACTGTAAATAGTTTTATTTATTTTTCAGCCAAATTGTTATGCAAAAATAATTCCAGTTGAATCGCAAAAGAAAATTGTTATTTATTCTAAACGTGATATTCGGTTAGGTGAAGAAATAACGTATGATTATAAATTTCCAATAGAAGAACAAAAAATACCTTGTAGATGCGGTTCACAAACTTGTCGTGGTTCACTTAATTGATTAACACTTTTTTTGTGTTTGTTTTTTCTTCGTTATTTGAAATGTATGTTGTTGTTGTTGTTGTTATTGCTCTCGTATTTTTATTTTTTGGATTATGATTCGTTTCTCTCTCTTTCTCTCTCTCTTCCACTTTTTCTGTAAATATAAGAATGATTTTTTTTCTCTAAAATCTTTTCATGAAAATCCCCGCTTTTTCGATGGTAATACGATGACTATTATATCCCGATCACAAATTGATTCTATATGGGCCTATTGAAGCAAACAAATTAAAAAAATGATTTTATATGTAGCAAACAGCGTCTGTTGGTGCGAATATAGTTCATTCTTGTCGATGCGCTCTGCTCATAGACACCATCTATGCATTTACCATGTCGTTATCCAATAAATACTATCCCCTATTTCTCGTATTCTAACCGAACTTCTATCCAAATTGTGCTCTAAATCAGTCCCATAGCTTACATATTTATTAGATTAGAAGAGATCACTTCCAGATCTGTTTGTCTATAAATATGATTGCTTGAACAGTTATAGTGCATAAAAGTAACTGAATGAAATAAAACGTTTTTTTTGCATAAACCTTCATTCTACATTCTTATTGAAATTTTGGATCTTGATGTTTCTCTAGCTCTGTTTTTTTACCTTTTCTCTATTCAACTCTTTCTTCTCCTTTGGGTCATTGTAGCCTTGATCTATTCGAAGATTATACTAAAAGGCACAAATTTGTGTTTTGATCTAAAATAGCTTCTGGATTTTTTCTGATATATGTTTTCATTCATCAAAGGAGAAAGAAGAACTAACAATCAATGCCAAGTACAATATTTTAATGTTTGCTTCCAACCGCACCAGAAATATAGTTGGGATTAAGCGCATACTTTGAGCATAATATATGTTGTCTCTGGTTAGACAATAATAACTATTCACCTTTGTTTCACACCTGTTTATATGTGTTTTCCTCCTTTCTTTTCTTGATTCAAATGTTCTTTGACATTAGTGAGTTATATAGCTTCTTAGATTTTGGGATCTCCTGGCACTACAGGCTTTTATTATCTATCGAATTTCTCTTCACAGAGCTAGTGCACAACTTTTCAATGAAATGTGTAGTAAAAAATATTAACTTTGTACGACTTCGTGTCATTAAACCAACTGCAATTTGTTTTGGTTTGAATAGAAAATTCATAAATCTCTCTACTTTTTTGTTATTCACATGTATATTTCGGCCTATGTTATTTCGACGGTGAATGTCTCCCATTGTGTATCAAAATCATACAAATCAAAGTTTTAGTTTAGGCGTTTCTAGTTTTTCTTTTGTGTATGCGACTCTTGCATAACTTTAACAGATTTTTCGTTTCTTGTTTGTGGTATGTTGTATGTTTCAAAACTTTATTTTTTCTCATGTTTTTATTTAAACCATTTTTTTTATGGTTAGATTTATGTAAATTTACGTTGTTTTTTGTTTTGTTTTTGTATATTTTGATATCTCACCAACAGACTATTCTGTTTTCTGTGGATTTTTTTGTGAAAATGTCAAATAGTGTTTACTTTCAAACATACTATGCATATCTGTATACACACACTCTCTCTTTCTCTCGCTCCCGCTCTCAATACTCGATTTCTATATAGAATAATATTCTACAATAAAGAAAAAGAAGACGAACGCACGGCTTGAATTTAAAACTACATGAAGAAAGATTTAGTTTATTTTAACCCAAAACAAAGGTTTGTAGATTTATTATAATTGCTTTATACAAAATGGAATATAATTCATAAAACAGTCTGCTGAAATGTTGACCAGAGAAACCTACTAATCTCACATCATTCGATGTAGTTTCTTGCGCTGATTCTGAATATGTCATTGTTAGTAAATAAAAACGTTTCTGAGCCTATATAAATGGAAAACATCTGAAAAACCATGGTTTTTTAGAAAATCTGCTGTACGCTTCAGAAACATTTGCGCTAACATAGATGATAGAGGGAAGCTAGAAGAACATTTTGTCAAAGTTTGAACGAGTTTCAAATTGGGATGTGAAGGGGGCACTCATTTTACTGAAACCAGATGTTCGAAAAACCATTTAGGAAAAACCTTTATTTTTTTCTCAACAATATCAAGTCGAAATTAAGAATTTTTTTACTAACAGATAGCAAACGATGTGCAGATTCAGAATCTACACTTTATTTGCTTACCAGTTTGTTCAGTTTTGTAAAAATTTCATTTTCTCACAGATACTGCTGTTTTCAGGCTAATTTTTTGATTGCCTGATTTTCCACGCTACATAAGCTTTACAACAAAACTTTTTATGCCATCAGATACAGCATGTTTCGCAGTATATTTATCGCTACTTGAATCAATGAAAAGTCGACTTTCATTTTTTCACCTAATGTCCGCCTGGATGCATACTATGCCCGGTCCGACCACTTTACGTGATTTTCTTCTTGCATCTGTAACGCTTTTGCTGGCTAAGCGATGTAAATGTATTTCGCAAGCTAATATTTATATTTTTATGATTTCTCGATACTGAGTATACACACAAATTACAAATCCACACACGCTTAAAAATTCTAAGTTTGGCCCGACCCGACCAAAATACTTTGCGGCCCAAGCCCAGCTCGACCACTCTATAAAATTTTCTGGCCCGGCCCGTGCTGATCTCTAATATTGACTAATAAGACGTAGATAACGCACGTTCGCTATCATCAGTGAAGGTTCTAATCTTCGTCAATTACGGTAATATAGGATCATAGTCTCTTTTGCAAGAATTTTCATGGCTCCTTCTTCAAGTTCGTTGTTCAAATTATGAATCACTGTCTTGTACAGGAAAAAAATACTTTTAACTGTTTAAAATGTAATTTTTACAGAGATGTAAACGGTCTTTATTTCTGTAGTAAATACTTCTTTTTTGTTTGTAGTAGTTTATTCAATCTGGTACCATCACGAAGTAACACATCATCGGACTATTTTTTTCTTCTATTATTATTACTATAGTTCTTGTAACTATTTAGTACGTTATTTGTTGTTTTTATGTCTCATCATATGTGGGATTGAAAGTTCATAAATGTCTTTGATTATCGTCCAATAATTGCTGTACAACGTAAAATTAATGACAATATAAATGGCCCCCTGTTATTGCTTGCATTTACCAGAACACAAACAATTTTTCTTTTTTTTTTTTCTTTGCTAATACACGTTCTTCTGTTATAAACAACCGAAAGTATATGAAACGATACCGAATGAAATGCAAGTGCTATGCTGATGATTATTGTGTACAAACAAATGTCTTTCTTTTTTTGATCTTCTAGTTAAACAATTGTCTACAAATAGAACCATAGCTGTTTTTTTGTTTAATTCATTTGAGTATTATATCACTGCGTTCAAACACCCAAAAATATATCAAGAATCTTTGGCACATACATAAGCTCATTTTATATGCGTAAATGTTAAATTTTCGCGACATATGTGCAGGGTGGGTGGATGTATGAAAGCATCATTAATTCAAGATCAATTATAGGATGGATATCGTTTAAAGAATAGTCGATCACGAATGTTCTGTTCGATTATTTTATAACATTTATAAGATTTCAACTATTTATAGCCGTCTTCACGCACTCATGTAGATAGATAGATAGAGAATAAATAGAGAAACGTATGTTCTGTTAATAGGTAAAAGAACTGTGAAATGGAGAAAAAGATCGAAATTCTTTACCATCCTCTCTGAGATGGAGCGACATTACAATTGCTTACATTCTCCACTGTTTTTTAATACATGAAAACGCTATAGTGCGGAAACGCTAAGTACAATTTTCTTCTATATTTTGCTTTGTTAGTATCTTAAGTTCAAATTTTTGCTAAATTAGTGAATAAACTTTTTCTTTGTCGCTGTCAATGAACTGATGAATTTTGAAAATATCGATCACTATAAAAGAGATTTATTGTTATCGGCAAATAAATTTCATTACTATGATCAATATTACTTCCGGGAGTATTACAGTGTTGTCAATTTTTTTCTTAGACCTAACATTCTGATATACGTTCATCAACACTTAATTCGTTTTTTGATTGGTTAATAATAGTACCGACAAATTCTGAAAGAGAAAAAAAAAATGTTCAAATAATATAAAATCCAATCGTCACTGTTATCAATGATACGAGAAGAGAAAAAAGAAAGAAAAAGACAAAATATTGTTGTTGAAGAGTAAAGAAACAACATCTTCAATTGAACAGAACTAAAACCTATCTCTCTATCGGAATTGTCGACTGCATCACTTAACATGAAATAGTTAGCGTTGAACGATTTTCAATGAACCATTTTATAATAAAAGAAAACACCGCAACATAAGTGTTATGGGATATAATTTTTATTGTCTATATTGAACTTTGAACCATAAGACTTAATGGAGAGGGACTACTCTTTAATAAAAACAAGGTGTATTATTATATAACTTTGTTTTATTTTTCATAAGCTAACGTTTTCTTATAAAGATGGTAGATACAGTTTCAAGAGAGTAATTCAAACGTCAACTTATTGAGAAAATAGATATTGTCTTTAATGTAAGTGTGTTTTCTTTTATTATATTCTCATTCAATGGAGTATGTCATGGAACATGTTTTTTACATATGAATAATAGTTAAAAAAGAACAAAAGTCATCTTGATCATTATTTAAATGTCACTAAAACGCATCTGGAGCCAAATATTCTTGAAAGGAAGTTTAAAAAGACATCAGCTTATGAAGACAGAGTGTAAATGGTTAAGTTTAAAGAAAAAAGAAAAAAGTTTTGACGTATTTGTCAATTATCTTTTCACACATAGAAAAAAGAAATAATAGAATAAACATGGAGCAAGTTACTCTATTGAAATAATGTTGTACAGACATCAGTGAGGACAATACCGTTTAACTATTCATCAATTGATTTTCCGTTATTCGGCTCAACATTTTCATACAACACCAATGTTAAACAGTACTGTTTAAGTACTGTTTACTACTTACTAATATTGATCTAAAGTATTTTTGTATTAAAACTACTCGGATATTTTCGATTGATGATCATATGTCCTAGAGCAACAAACAAACAAGTACCAAAGACACAATCTACATTCTTTAACTAGAACTCGTTTATTTGAAGGAATATTCTCTGTCTTTGTTTACTTAAAACAATCTTCTTGAAACTAGTATTTTTAGACAGTCTAAACCTTGCCTTTAACCATCTATCAATCATTATATTACATCATAATTTCAAGTATAAATTGTTCACAGTTCGTTTTATGCGATTATTATTTTATAATTCATTCATGTCTTGTTGTAAATCAAAACACTTTCATATGTCAATGTTCATTGTAGTTCTTACGTGGAAGCAAAAAATCAATTATGAGTTTAACTTATCATTTCAACTATGTTGGTTTGATTCATCTTCATCTCATTTAGAGCGAAGAGAATGCACTGTGATTCATATAAAGAAAAGACGAAAGAAGAAGCCTATAATCAATACGCTTAGTAAGTGCTTCATGCTCATTAAATTCTAATTTTTGACTATTGAACAATCAAGTGCTCGTCAATATGGATCATTCGAACCTAATTTTAAATAATAAAAACTCATCAATCATATTATTTCTATTTTTCTTTTATTATATGAATACCATGACGTATGTATGTTCGGCAAATAATAAACGACTTTTCTTCGCTTTTTTTTGTATATAACTCGCTGAGTAAATGTTTGCTTGTTGCATAAACCACCATTCAACTTTCTATTCTATATATATATATATATTATTCATAAGGTTTCACATAAAGCAATGAATTCATTCTTTGAGAACTCAAAAATTCTCAATATTTAACGATACAAGAAAATCTAAAACTAACTTGGTGAAACAATATTGGAAATTTTCAATTGTCTATTGTGAATTGAATTAATCAAAGAAAAATTTAGGTCAATATCTTACATCATGTGCTTGTGACGAGGACACTTTATCACAATATGCTTAAATTTTTCCACGAGTAATGAAATTTTTATATAAGATCTATTTCTCTGACACTCTTGAGAATTCCACAATTTTCTCATTTATATATTTCGTAGAATTACTGTTTGTCAATTTGAAACATTCTGTATGATCATCAACCAACAATAATGATAGGTTGATACAATTCAGTAATCACGTAATAATACTATAATATTGATAGTCTACTGTTTTAACAAAGATGGAATCGTTTAGCTAAAGAGAAAGTGTCTAAATTACATGACGATATTAAATAATTGGAATGTAATACTTTGATATGATCAATTTATTATTTTCAATTCTTATGAATTTCTAAAATTTGTGTCTCACAAATGTTGACTGATAAACTTGAGTTAGCCGAAGGAACTCTTTGCTATTATTATTATTATTTTCTCTACCATTCTTTTTGGTTAATTAATTTTATAAGGAAGATGTCTATGCATATGTTTATCATATTATGAGTGAGATGACAAACTATGTGATGCTTCATGCTATGCTATACTATATTTCGCTATCATAATATATTTTTTATCATTATTTTTTAGTTTAGGGTTGATTTTTAACATACACATACTTCTATTCTGTTTCTGTATATCTTGTTTGCCTTAAGAATGTATAGGTTTTTTTTTACGACCAATTAGAAACTCTTTTATCAAATACTATATTCTATTATTGGACAATGCTATGAAAAGAAGAAAAAAACAACCCTGACATCGATAGATATTAGTTATTTTTACAAACTATAATAACTTTCTATTATCATTGAGAGAGAGAAAGAGCGAGAGAGAAACGATGGAAAAAGATAGAAGAAGAAGAGTAATGTGAGTAGTCGACAATGAGCTGTTTGCTACTGCTCTTGTTGTACATGATGAGAAACGAACTGCTCTGAAGTCAACTAGAAAGAAAAAGAATATACTTAGCAGGAGCTCGACACTCAATAGACAATAAGAAAAAAAAAGAAAAAGAAAAGAGAAACCCAACTATCGACCGAAAGAGGAGAAAAAAACATAGAAGAAAATATTTTATGAAGCCTTTGAAATGGGTGAATGAATATGTATTCGTCGTTACAGACATAATGTTTACTGATGAATGTATGCGTGTGAGAAAATTGCAATAATATGAACAAGTTTTTCTTTCTTATTTTTCTTTCCAGTTAATAATTGGCGTATGCATTTTGATATGAACCAATCACAAATCGACTTTAAAATTTAATGTCTTTTTTTTTTTTCTCTTCTCTTCAGTATTCGTCCAACCAATTCTTTTTTATAATCGAACAACATAGACTAAATTTAAGTGATAAAGAAAGATAAACTAACAAATCAAACGACTCACCCAAAAGTTAATGAGATCTGGTTGAAAAGAAGAAAAGAAGTAGATTCTATATACACTATCAATTGGTCATTTTTTTTTTACTTGTGTGTGTGTCTCTCTTATCATCAACATGTATTCAATCATAATTATATAATTCTTCTCTGCATTTGATATACTCAATTATTTTCTCTTTTTTCAAACAATACATAAATGCACAAAAGATAAACCAACTAACTATTATGTATCATATGTGGCCACCAGTAATTCAACCACCAACATCCTCTCGTAATTACAACGAACATCATCCAACATTTGATATGACTACCGCTTTTAGAACTGTTCGAACAAATGGATTAGCCAACAACACAAATTCCTCAACTGGATCAGAGAAAACGATGGCGGCAGCTGTTGCAGCGTTTAATGGTTCATTTAGTGTTAATACACTTATTCAACCCGATATGCGTTATCATGCACCCACAGCAGCAAATCATTTTTTTAATACTCTACTTCATACCTATCCCTATGTGAATGCATTTCGACCATTATTGAATACATCTACAAACTCAACATCATTACTCTCATCGTCTTCTTCCTCTTCAACATCCGAATCTGCATTTGTACCAGCAAAAAAATTTAAACGAGATAGTACTGGAGATTATAATAATCATTTAACTCCGAAAAGTGATCGCGGTGAAACATCACATGTAAATGGATGCGATGAAAATCGATGTGATACACCATCAGAACGATCCAGTAACGATAGTTTTGGAAAATATTCTGGTACGTATAACATATTTTTTCTTCACCTATATTTCCTTTGAATATTGCCGAAGTGAGTGAGAAAGAGATAGTAAGATCAACAATACACGCAATATGTCTTGTAACACAATTTTAACACTTTTAAAGACAATTACGTGAGTTAGGTTTCTCTATGAGAACAACTGTTCATAATATGAACTTCATATCGTCAGATGTTTTTGTCGTAATTAGATGAAATCAAAGCTTTTCTCACAAAACTTGTTATTTTCAATTGTATCAGATATTAGTTGAATGAACTATTGATACAAACAGAAGCGGATGATTCTTTTCTTTTTCGAGTACAGATCGTTTATGTCGAGTCTGACTCGAATGATATCATCGGTTTGTTGTAATGTTTTATGAAAAATTATGTCTTTTGAATAAAGACGAAACGTCTCATTGGAAGTCGTCTATTTTGATACTGATAAATGTAATTTATCTCTTAGTATGTTTTCTTCTTTTTTACTTTCAATGATTCTTTGTGATAAAAAGATTTATAAACGAAAAAAGATAAAAAAATTTGATCTATACAAAATAACGACCAGAGTCTTTTCTCAGATTTTACAAGTCTTTCATCTCGAATCCGAACAACAAAATGCGACTGGCTCAGCTCTGGATACAAACATCAGAAAGCTCTGTTAACAGACCCTTGAATGTTATACTAAGAGTCTCGATTGTCTGAAATTTATTTAAAAATTATAAAAATGTGATACAATTTAATAATATTTTATAAATTTTCTTTTAAAAATAGAATTTTGTGATGTATATTAATAATATATGTTTTTGTAAGCTTAACAGAGAATTTGCTACGTAGACATTCGTTTACATTGTTGACGATAGGTTTAGTGGACTAATTGTACGTTCGTTTACTTTTAGAACTTTTCAAGGATATTAATTAATTTTTTTCTCATAAAAAAAGTTTTATTATAAGGTATATTTACAAACGTCCTATTTATTAAGAAACTATAGCGTTCGTTAGTTACTCTCGTTATATTTATTTTATCAATTGCTGTATTCAAACTCAATACCGTAAAATGAGAATATATGAAAAATATTTACCAATGAAGCGTAAACTGTGTCAATGAAAAGTATTTGAGTTATAAAGTTATTTTTTCCTTATAGTTAGTTCATAATGTTTTCGTTATTGAACAGCTTATAAATACTGTCTAGAAAACCATGCATATATTTGTTGCTTTAGAAAAGTGTGTCTCATTCATGGCACGTATCTTCGAAAGAAAAACAACCATTAAACAGCATCATTTTAATTTTAAATTGTACACATCAGGCGTCTGAGAAAGAGAGAAAAAAAAATGAAAAATAAAATCATGAGCTTCCTGCTGTAACACACTTCCTGATTGTTTTTGTCTATATGTATGTCTGACAGTATATTGCGAAAAAAAAATTGATGATGAATATTTAAACGGAACAAATTTTTCGTTATTTTTATTCGTGTAGAGCACAAATGTTAATAACTAACTCCACCCTACTTCTTCTTCATCAGTTTATTAAAATACAATGATGATCACTTTGCAAGTTGGGAAGTGAAATGAGAACTTAACAAGTAAACATTAATTTACACATTTTAGTGATTTTTGGATGTAAACAAATTAAAAGAAGGGTGAGTCTTAATCTTATAGAAAGATGTCTTTAGAAAAATTAGAGAATGACTGATGATGAGAATAACCACTGTGTTTTTGTTCTCCTAGAAACACTATGAAATTAGTTAGAACTTGTTTGATAGTGGTCATAGATCATTGATCACTTTTGAGTTCAATTGTAACTGGCAAATGTTAATTAATTGTGTAACTTTGAAAATCACTACTGAAACAAAAATAGGTGTTCATCAGAAACGGTTTGATTAAAGTTAGAAATGTTACGTAGACATTAGTTAAGAAAAAAGAAAATTACACAGTGAGAAAAATTGATGTTTATAACAATTAATTGGTGGTATTCATCAAATGTAGACATCATATGAAATAGTTGATAAAGTCTGTTTAGATGTTAGAATAGAAATTTCTATAATATTCATAAAAAAAATTCCGAGCTATTTATTGAAATTTGTTTTTTTCGTTTGACAAAGTCAATTAATGTTATTTTTCGCTGCTCAATTTCAATGTGAGAAAATACAATATTACTACTACTGCATTTACATTGTTCAGTGGTTCTTTTTCTTGATTATAATATTTACATTTTATTTAATTTGCTTCACTTTTGTTCGTAAATAGTTTCATTTAGTCTCTAACGATCAATTTACGTGTATAAAGACATGAGAAACGTGTACATTTTAACACCTATTTTAACTAGAATATAATTTGATTTTCAGTGTGAGAGAGAGAGAGCTAACAATAATCAAACAACTGAACAAAAGTTGAGTTGAAACGTTTTACTCTTGTAAATTATACATGATGACTGTAACTCTTATTGAAATATGTCATTGTGAGTTTTATGGAACAAAGAAACATTGAGGAAATCAATGTTATTACCACACCATTAAATATGTGAAAAGAATAGCCTAAAAATCATCTCTCTCTCTCTCTATATATATATACATACATATCTGAAAAAACTATATAAGCGAGACAAATTGTTTTAATTTAAAACGATATGTTTAACATCAAACATGAACCGATTGATTGATTGATCGATATTTAATAGGAGACAGCTTTAGAGAAGTGGTTCAATAAATAATTCCATTCAAAAATCATGGAAGAAAACGAAAGAACTCTTCTAATATACCATCACAACCAAAGTGTAATGTACAATAAATTATAGAAAAAAAAATATAAAGCATAACAGTAGCAGTATCTTACATACATACTGATCAAAAGGAATAAATAAATATGTTAATTAATTTTTTTTGAAGAAAAAAATGTCAGACGTTAACTTTCCCTAGAAACTCTCAATAAACACTTATTATTTCTTTTGTATATCATTTGCTAACCTCTATTATCATTTATTTTGTTATAAAAGCACGATTGGTCATTGAGAAAAGACAATTTAAAGTAGAATATGATAATATTTAGCTAGCGGGTACTTGTATATTGAATATTGGCATGTGTCGATATACTTAACGAGCCAGAATGAAAATATAATACAAATATGTTCAATAAAGATGTATTCAAATTATTAACAAGCTTATTAAACAAATCTTATAACTATACTTTTCTTTATTTATTTTTCATATACTTTTTTCTCTTTTTTGCCTTAAAACTATTATTTATTTATAAATGAGAGTAACAAGTAAATGCCAATAGAGAGAGATGAGAAGTACATACAACTCATAACATTATATTTTTACTGATTATTATCTTGATTAACAGGTGACTTCTAGTAGAACAAATATAAATATCAACAGCTGAAAATATACATCTCGCACTTTACAAAATTGATATTTTTCAAATGTCCTTAGGCTTTAAACGATATTTCCATTTTTATTTGATAAACCTTACAGAAATAAAAGTTGCAAACTAAACGGGGCACTCTTACAGTAGAAAATTTTAGTATCTAGAGATTACTTTATGTATAATAATGAATATAGAATAAATAGGATTAATTGAACAATATACGTTTTTTTTTTATCTTTCTAAATTTACTGTGTATGTATTCTAAACATAATTTGATGAGTTGCTAAACATATGGTGTATACCTGTTTATCATGCAAAAGATATAGTAATTAGAAATTCTTTTTCTTTTTTCTTATTTTTGAAGTTAAGTGAGTGAGCAATAAAAAACCCATCCGACACATCACTTTCATTGTTCAATAAAAAAAAAAAAAAAAAAAGAAAAGGAAACATATTCATCAAATAATGACCATACGTTCTTTTATTTTTTTTTGATTATTATAACCTGTTTCTTTTTCTCCATATTCAACGATACTCTTAAGGGAATTTTTTTTGTGTTATATGATGATAATAATAATAATAACAATAAGAATGACAACTATTTTGAATATTTGCTCATAGGTCGTCAATCTCTTCTTCAATGTGTATATATAATATAAATGATGACATTGTTCGGAGACTATGTCACATTTCACTTTTTCTTCCGTATTCAGGTATAGAGATAGTGATTTATGACTTGAGTTGTCATTGGGCGTTCCTTAAATTCTTCTAAGCAGATGTATAAAATCATTTACTAATAATAATATGAAAATTTTTTGTGTACAATCAGAGTCATTGACAGAGTGAGACTTTCTTAAAGAAGAGTTTAACAAAAAAAAACTATTCAAATAGATATCATGCTTAAAATATTGTAAAAAAAGAAAAGAATGATCGTTAAACATTTTTTATTTTATCTCTCTTAAGAATGATAACATAGATTCGTACAACTGTATTATATATATTAAGAGCAAATTGAAATGTTGTGTGTCAAAATAAAAGAATCAATGTCACATCATATAGAAGTATTGTAGTTATTGTATGTAAACATGGTTCATGTGCCGTTATTCTTCATTCAATCTGTAAATGTTAAATAATTTGTTATTGTTATTATTCTTTTTTTCTTTTTTGTTATTATAGAAAATCGATGTCGTTCAACATTTGATTTACAAAATCCACTATGTCCAATATGTAATGTTTCATTACATGGTTCAGATATTGGAACACATATTCAACTTGAATTAGATGCAATGGAACGATGTTCAAGGTAATATAAAAATCAATATATTAAATTTATAAAAAAAATCTAGAATTTTTTTTCTTTCTCTCATTATAGACAAATAAAATATCGTACAAATTCCAATGGTGGTGATCATCATTTACCCAGTAAAGTAAGATATCTCGTTTTTTTTTATTTCTATGTTGAATATATATTATTTCTACATTTGTTACTCTGTTACATATGAAGCCAGCCAATGAGCTACTCGTAATTCTATTAATCATGTCAAAAATATAAACACTTTATGTGTTAAAGATGATAATAATTTTTTATCATTCATGCGTTCTATAACGTTAAATTGTGTATATGTTCCATGAAACATATTAGAGATTATTATTTAGTAAGAAATCATCTTTTTTTGTCTGTATATACATTTATCTGTCGCTATTCGATTTACGATAGATAGACGTAGAATATCATTAGACTATATGAATAAATGAGAGATATTCAGTTTAAAAAACAATCAATATGTCACTCTTTTATACTTATAGATATTACAAGAGAATAATATTAACAATATTGATCAAACATGTAAAACACGTTATGAAGTAGGAAATTTGATCATTTAGTAATATTAATATTCTTAAATTTATATCTATTTTATATTTAGACTTATTTGAGAGTGCGTACAAGTCGACAACAAAGATTCAATTGTAAGAGTAATATATTTTTTAACACTATATATTTTTATTATCTATTCTTATTGATAATAGCAAAACAACTTCATCGCCGAGGTAGTCGTGAAACTCGAAATTGTCCAATTTGTTATCAAACAGTAACAACGAATAATGATGAAGAATTTTTTTATACACATGTTCAACAATGTTCAAAAAAGGTATTAATAATAATCTTTGTTATTTTAAATAATTTTTCATTATTATTTGTTTAATATTATTAGAGAGAACATCTTGCTGCAGTGGCTGCCGCAGCTACAATGAATCAACGATTACCAATGGAGTGTATGAATCGTGCATTAGCTCTACAAGCCAGTCAAAATCTAGCTGTTAACCTTTCACAAGGTAATTTCAAAAAGATTATGTGATATACTAGTCTTGATTATTTGACAAGACTAAAAAAAAGATTTTCATTGATCTTTTCATGTTCTACAAAATCACACTTATTGTATACACTTATTTTCTTCTGAAGTATAGAAATGATGTTACGATTGAAAAAGCTGAATACATGAAGTGTTTTATTTTCTAGTTATGAACGGTTATAATTTAGTCGTGCCTCCCACCGAATCAGAAGAGGCCGATATTAATGTTGTCGATACGGATGCAGAAAATGATATCATTAATAAACGAGCATGCAAACGAATTAAAGCAACAACATCCTCCGCTTCATCCGGATCATCAAGTGGAGGTGGAGGTGGTCAAGAATTATTCTCTCCAAATCAAAGGTAAGAAGCGATGAACAAACAAAATTCTCGACTATATTTGATTTGAAATAATATTTCTAGTGACACAAGTAATCGATGTCAAGAATCATTTAACAGTGACCAAAGGTAGTAGTATTACTCGTTAGAAATGAAATGGAAATTTTTTTATTTTTTCTCTTCTTGTCTAGTTTTCAAAGATCTCCAAAAATGCCTGAAATAAATGAAATTGATCCACCCAAATGTCTTGTTTGCTTGGTAGGTGTGATAATACTCTATCTTTTGATGTTTACAGTACACACTCGTTTTCTTCTAATAAAAAAAATGAATTTAATTCTTGTTTTCATAGGAATCATGTGTAAAACCGTGTGTTTCAATCGGTTGTTGGCATATAAATTGCGAAGAATGTTGGATGAAATGTCTTAAGGAAAAAAAAGTTTGCCCACAATGTGACGTAGTGACAGCACCTGAACACTTGCGAAAAATATTTTTAAATCAAGTTTCAAAAACGGACAAAACTTTGTAATATACGTACATTTGTAAAATATCAAACGCCCGGTTTTCTTTACTCTCTCTCTCTTACTCTCTCTTGAAACAATTGTCGGACGCTATAACATATATGAGCAACAGTAGAACTCATCGAGACATTCTAATACTATTTGTATCCCTTTTTTGTTCGTCTTTTTTTCCATAGATGTTGTTATTTTTTTTAAAATTCATCAGTTGTTTCTGTTCAATTTTTTTTAGTAGTATAGACTCTTTCTTCTTCTCCACAAATGAGATCACGATCACATGACAATCGGATTAGAAAAACAGATGTAAAATCAAATATGTACATGTTGTTTTTCTTTTAAGTGTCTATCTGTTCAAATTTTGTATGATTTTTTTTTTCTGTGCTTGTTTTGATAGATATATATAATATTGAGGCAATCTCTTTTCTAATAAATCTTTTGGTTTCGAAAAAAAAAGTTTTATAACAAGCTTTAATCTATCACTTATAACTAGCAAGATAGGATTAAAACACTAGTTCAGTTCAGTCTTTCATTAAAATAAGATAAATATCGACGACAAATATAATTTGCTGCTGTTGTTGTTGTGAAAACAATAAAAGTCTTTTATAGATTTCCGCTCAGCATATGGTTTTTATTTTTCAATAAAAAATAAAAGAAGAGTTTATGGGAAGTACAAAAATCATATAAGTAAGATGTGCTAGTATAATGTTTCTCAATTTTCATACAAACATATAGAGAAGGTGCAGTCATAAATCATAGAGAATTGTTTAAGAAAAGTCATGAATAGGTGACTTATTATTTTCAATGAACTTCCGTTTTCAATTCGAAACAAATTATGCTTTTGAATAAATTATCTTATTTAACAATAAATATCGGAAACAATCAGTCTCTCACTTCTACTTCAATGACAGTATTCAAGAATGATAGTGATCACATGGGCGAATGATGTTTTAGCTATGAGAGAAAAATTTTCACAAAAATAATACGACAGAATTGAGAGAATTTGAGTCCCAAGATATTTCTTTATGATATCTAATTTGTGAACACACAATATTCATGCACATCTAGAGTCGCATCGAAGATCTAAAATAGAGGCCTGCTTGGGTTAGGAAAATGTTACTCGTCGGGCAACTCAACAAACCAACTCGTATCCGTCCAAATCCTAGAGTCAAATCGGTGTGCTAGTTTCTAGTCTAAAATTCTAATATAAAAAATATGCAAATTGGGATCTGTGACAGCTGTTCTTGAATACAAATCTAGTATAAGGTAAGAAAACGTTGTCAGTGTCAAACTATATCTACAGCAACAAAACTGAGTATTTCTGGATTTATCTCAAAAAAATATTTAAAATTTATCTTTACAATAATGCCGAAGTCTTCACTTAAGAATTTACTCATTACTTGGCACAAATATTAACTCGTTAACCTTCGGCACTCGTTAACCTTCGGATTTGATTAGAGGATGTTTCCCAATATGAACATAGAATCCTCATCCAAACATGTAATAGCGTTCACCAACAAGCATGGCAAGTAATTTTATTATTTTTTTAACGAAAAGTTCTAAGCTTTCTATACGGTTGTTTGTTTTCTTATTTTTCTCGACGAGTTTAAGCTTATAAGTAGAAATGGAAACTGTCAGGTACGAAAATGGTTAGTCCACTTCACCACCAACAAATATCTGCTATCAACGTGATAAAATATGAAACAACAAGTACGAAGTTAAAATTCATCTTAGAAGTTGCAAGATGAAAATCATTCAGATAGTATCTGCGATAACAATTAATTTGTCAAATATTTAGTAAGACATTACTCAAAAGAGAATCACTGAGTTGTAGAAAAAGAATACCAGTAGTGATCACATATGGGAGACTATTTAAATCCTAGAACATCAAGCATGATGTTAAGTCACGTATAACGAAGTGTTACAAAAACAATGAAATAGACTAGGATCGATCAATTGACTCAAGAAGATTACAAAATCGAAGATGCAGAAGAAAGCTAGATTTGACGAAAAGACTCAATAGAAATATCGAATCTGCATATAATTCGAAGATGACAAACGGAGCTTGACTCATGATATATTGATTCTTTTGATGAGTGATTGTTTCTCAGCACTGAATCGACCATTTTGAACTATATCAATGCGCCCAAAATCTACGAGTATTCTTTGACAACTGTTCTATCCTTTTTCTATAAAACATTTCATCTTCATTCTACAATAGTGTTCTGGTTTGGGTACTTAACATTCAAGTTTAAGAATAAACACTATTAATGACAAGCAGAAAACAGCGATTATTGATGATGTAGGCTTTATTCTTCCAAAAAAACAAATGAAATAAATTTCATTATAGTAATCTATTAACATGTATGATCAGATCATTGTGGATGACCGCTCCCAGCTAGCTAATATCAGCTATAATGAATATTCTTTTAATAATCGAGGAACTTCGACGACAAATGGGTGTGGTACTTGTGTGAGATGTGATTATTTTCGAAGTTGAGAAATCTGCTACAGAATAAATAGTTTTTCACAACAAAAAAGATGCACGTTGTTTCATAATGAACTTTGACTTTTAACGCAATGCTAAATAGGATTTTACTTCATGTTTTTAAAACTAATCTTATGAAATTTTGACTATTTGCATGTATATAAGGGTGCGATAAGAAATGTTGTCAATGTGTTAGATTTCGATCATTTGGTGAAAACTTTTACATCAACTTGTGACCAAATGATGTGAAATATGTGATGATGTAGAAACGATATTTTTATCGCTATCGTTAACAAAAGAAAGAGAGAAGCAATATGACCGTCTTGACTATTTGTTAATTTTCTTTCGAGAATAATTTCTATATGTTCATAGATGGTCGCGTGTGTGTACATTATTATTTTCAATAACATATTTTTCTATAATTGTTTTCTTTTAGCTCTAAGGAGAGAATATTAAAAGGTGTCGATCAACATTTTTCTTCCTTTACAAAAATCATTAAACAAGAGAGAAGAACGATATATATATATTTATTTACTCATCATCATTTGAAATATTATTTTGTATCGTTAAAATGTAATTTAATTAATGAGACCTTGCCATGTTTAAATCAACAGTCACCACACGCCATATTATAACTTCGAGTTTGTTGAGTATAGTGTCGATATGCAATTGTTATGCAATTTTGATAGCATAGTAACTGCCGAGTATGAGTCTAATTACTAACACATTTGTTACACACTCTACTAGTTTCGTAATTTCAGAATGAACAAATCAATCTGTGAAACACTATAACAAGACAAGCCTTGTTCTTGTATAATTGTACATACATCACGACCAATTGACTAATCTCAATGAGATTGATGTTTCGAAGCTAGCGTAGGATTTTGTGTTATTTAACAAAGTGTTAAAATTTTTACACAACAACTCCTCTACAAAACCATATTTTAAAAAGTCCTGAAAAGGGTTTAATAGACAAAAAAGATTTTTCATTTCTGTTACTAAACTCAAAGCGTTTTGTGAAAGTTTTGAAAGATCCTTTTGGCTATTTTAGAAAATTCTTAGATATCTGTGAGGATGAGGTGTCTGTTACAAAAACGCAAAAGGGTTCTGTATTGTGGTAAAACTATGATATAACGACAAAATTACTATCTAAAAAGACAGAGTGTGATACATATGAGCGATTTGGAATTTCATTGTACGGCTTGAATCCAATATTAAAATAGACAATAACTTCGGTTCTAGTGGATTGATTTCGAAAATTTTATTTGTTTTCACTCATATAAATACTCTTTTAGACTTCGTAGAGACAGTTGGATGCAGCATATTACCAATGAAATCTGTTAACCGAAGAGTTAAAATTGTTAATTTCTGCGAACGTAAGACTAGATCATAAATGACTTTGTGATCTCTTTGATATATAAACCACGACTGTCGATCAAAACATTCAAAAGTGGGACATTTTGCGAAATAGAACTAGTCTTGAAGATACTAGATTTCTTGAAGTTATAAATGAATTTTTTCATAAACTAAGTATCGTAAAAATAAACAAAAACTCCTTCTCTATAGTACATTTCATACAAAAAAAATCATGTATATGGGAGGATGCATCCAAAATGCCTTGACTAAGCATTCAAGACACTACGACACAAGACACTTTGTACAGAGACAGTATGAGTGCATAAAACTGGAATCCAGTCACCTTCGTAGGGTATCGTGACGCGTGTTTTACACGGAAATATTTTCTTACTAAGCAAAAATGGCGTTGCGTTTGAGGCACCTGATTTTATTTAAAAAATGCATCTCATTTTTTACAGTGTAAGACCTTCAGAATTATCTTTTGCACAATCTGTTCTTTTTTTTGTGGAACAGTCACAAAAGTCAAGTAAAATCAGAAGAATTTTATACAAAAATATGAGTACTACTAATAATAATTTATCTCCACCAACATAAACTCTTGGAGACCTCGAACACGCTTGATTATCACGATAATAGCATACAATATTTTCAATAAAGTTGAAACCTCGAAAATAACCATTTCTAATCTTTTCTTTTGGCAATATATTCGTTCTAACTTCATCATCTCATATTTATTGCTCACAAGCCTTGGGAAAAATGATTTTTGTGCATAGTTACAGAAAAGTACACGGAGACATTTTTCTAATAAGTCTTATACAACCAGTTATAAAGCACGTTGATTCTCGCCTGTATGGTGTAATTTTCAGAACATTGATCTGTAATATTTCCCTTTTTTCATCTAGCGAATACGTTCCGCTTGTAGTCTTTTCCTGCACAAAGTGATATATTTCTATAAAAATGTCTCCATTAATTGTGCAAATTCCCTACAACGTGCTCTGTAAACTAGCCGTGTAACAATGTCTTCACTTGAATGTTCAGGGAGGGTTCTTAAAGATAAGATCTTTATGAATTCATCAGAATGAATATTAGATTCGTGATCAGCATCAAATACTATTCACAAAAATAATTTAACGCTTCAAGCTCCCCTTCTCTGGTTCCTTCAGTTTTTCACCTAACATACTGACGGGATGGATGCAGTTTGAAATCAGTAGAAAACTTACGACTGACCAAAAATTCTGGCGATATTAAATAAAAATATAAAGATAAGGAGATATTTTTAATTTAATTTTATCAAACGTTCAGGATAGTTGCCATGATTATTAATATCAAGTTCGATCCTTTCTAACAATTTATTAAAAGTTTTTTTGAACTCTTTTTCTAAAAAATGTTTAGCTACCTTGGAAACCACATGAGCACATCACATTTCATTTATTTAATTAGTAAAATTTCGTTCGATAAGATTATTTAACCAAATATTGTGTAGTATTAGGTATGACGAATATGGCGGATACGACATTATATTGATGCCTTCTTCTGTCAAATAATAAATAACATCGGATGAGATGAAGTCAGCGATGACCATCAAGCAATTTTGTACATTTTGAATTCTGAACATTTGATAAAATTAAATTAAAAATATCTCCTTATCTTTATATTTTTATTTAATGTTGCCAGAACTTTTGGTCAGCCCTAAGTACATTGATGCATGAATAAAAGCTTACAATAGTGTATTTTTATTATAGGTACATTGCTATCGATTATGAGTTAAATATTTGACTTATTGTCCACATTCTACCGTTTCCAGGTCAATCAATTAAAATTTCGTATAGAAATTGTCTCCATTGTCACAAATTTAAATGATCGAGTATATTTGAACGTTGAATTTATGTGTCGGTTTTTAATGATAGGTAATAAATCTTCTCTCAATGAGGAAATTAATTCACCATGCGCCTTAATCCACGAGTATTTATCATAGATACATTGTTTTTCAAGCTTAAGAGAACTTAATATATATGGTCAACTATTGAATTTAAATAACTTGTACGAAATTTTAAACATGACACCACAGCTGACTCCTTTACAACTATTCAACGTCTCAACTATTTTCAACGGTTAA